TTTCAACTTCAAAGCACATGAAATCACAATGATCACAAAGTTTATGGAATCAAGAGGACACCATGTGTTCAACGAACACATACACACATGCTGTATCAGTGCGCGCACACATGTACACATGTGCGTGCACCCCCCCCCCCCATCCCACAGACATGCGCGTGCAGTGCGCACATCCATACACATGTGCATGTACCCCTCCCCCTCCCCCGACACACACACACACACTCCTACCCATACACATGTGCGTAGGACCCACGCACACACACACACACGTGTGCACAGACGAATACACAAACACACACGCCCGAACACACACAAGATACGTGTAAGTGTACATGGTCTTCCTGGTGCAGATGCGAGGCCAGCACAATGGAAAATACCTCCATCAAGATGCTTGATCAAGTGTTGTGATAATGGCACTGTTTGTTTGTTTTTACAAAGAAGTGTGGGAAGGATTACTATGCGTTATAATTCATAATTGTTCTTTGCCTTGTACTGTGCAGACCAGAATGCTTTGCTATCAACTCCTGGCTTTCCATCGGCATGGTGTTCAGCTGCAGCGGCATCTGGTCCGGGGAGTTGAAGTTGCTGGATGGCTGCACTGACACAGGATGGGTTTGCGTTGGCAATGCGATACGGCAGTCATTCCACATCATGAGCTACATGTTTATGTAATTTATATTGTCGCTCGTCCAGCAACGTCAAGGCTCTGCATGTAAACACAGGAGAACACCATAATAAAAAATACTACTCATACTCCGGGGATAATATACATGTATTTGGATTAGCAATTTCGTGCCATTTATGGGTTCCTGTCTAAACCATGCTGTGATATTGATTTCTATCTGCTCACAAAGTACCTTGTACTGTAACAATGCTCTGCCTAATCACTACCCTCCGCCAATTATTAGATGCACACAATATTCACAACACAATGCTGTCTATTTACACTACTTCGAACTGAAATGCTCACTACTCTTCTCCCGTTTTCAGCTCCCTCTACCTTATGAATACTCTACATTACTGGTTTCGTTTCTACCCTTTCCATTGCTGCCAGCTCCCAGTCTTTTTCAATGCACAGCACCACCTTGAAATTTTTGTGATTTGATGTACACATACTTTGAAGTTGAAATTCGAACTACATGATCAGATTTTTGTTCCACATTTTCTATTTATTTTTACTTCAAGCACAACCCTACCGATGAAGGGAAAGAAGCAGCCGAGAGACACCTACTGAGTCTAATGACTACCACTGTCAGTTCTCAAACAAAAACAATTTTTGTCAAATTGAAAAATCTCACCTGTTAGTGTTGCTCACTAGCCACTAGTGACTAGAGTTGTTCGTCCACGAAATTCGCAATATAGCACTACGCCTACGGTACCAGCAAGAGTAGGTAAGTAAGTTGGCATAGAACAACAGCTATGCACAGCCATGTTCATCTCCTCTTCACTTTGGAAGGCAGTACAAGCACCCTTCATACCTCGACAATGCCTTGGAGTGGAAGCAAATTCACCATGAGTTTTCCAATTCGCTACAATCGATCTCGGGGTGATGATCGTGTCTTCTTCATCACCACTGCAGCCTGGACAGCCTTCGGGAAGACATGTGTCACTCTCCTGCTCAACAGATTCCTACATCTAGATTTGGTTACCGTCAGGGAACGAAATAGAGCTGCAAAACACCAAAGTAATTGTTTTCTTCCATTCAATTACACTGCTGAGCATGCACAGCATGGTGACAGCTAAGCAGTACGCACGTCATCAAGCCCAATTTCCAAATATGGAAGGTGTTATTTATGAAATTTGACACGGTTCCTCTTCTCTGATCGGCTCGAGACATAGCTCATCGGAATCAGTGCCCAATTCCCCTTCGGATAAGCCATACTTATTTTTGGCGTTCAGTTTCCCTTTAACGGATTCTCGTTTTTTGAAGCCATGAGCAGATACCACGAGTGCACATAACGTGGAAACCAGTGCACAAAACTAGGTCCGAATTATTTTGCCGCTGAGAATTATGGATCGGGATCATGCATGCAAACAGTACTGCATGCAGCAAAGTAACTACTGTTTGTAGTTACAATGCAATCGTTCAGAACTGACTTCCAAGAATGTCCTAAATATCTCTCGACATATTTGTTCACCGCTTCCTAGGACGATAGGCGTAGTAGACTGTAGTGAGTAACCTTCTGGAGCAAATGACGACTGCCCCGAGCATGAACTTCTTTTCATCCTGTTCAAGGTCAAATATTACTCAGTTTGCGTTGAAGAATAACAATTACATTCGTGAATGGCCGAACTGAGAAAACCCTCATGATTTCTCTTGGATTTCGTATCCCAAGTTCCTCTACTTGGCTGGATGAATCGCCTCTTGACTTCATCATACTGGACTGGAACTTGTAGATAAAAGCGAGCAATGAATCGTTGAGTGAAGTAGATTTCAAAAGTAATAATCACTCGATTACTGAATAGTAGTGAATACGTAGAATACTCAAGTATTTTAATGATATGAACACTGAAGCTAATGTGACATTACGGTAGTACAATAGGAAGTACGTCACCACTGTTGTAAATGCACGCGCTGATCCTATCCAACCTGACGGCCAATGCAAGAGGTTGGAATTGGCTATTGATTTCCTAACACACTCATACAGCACCAAAAGCTATCTGTTATTGCTCATTTTCAACTCAACATAACACAGTTGCAAATCACCAGGTGCACATCTTGGCACATGATGTGTGCTGTCGCAGTCCACCGCAGAACATAGTAATCCACAGATAACTACCGATAAAAGATGATGTCACATACGTACATACATGCATGCGCGCGCACCCACACGCGTGCGCGCGCACACACACACACACACACATGAAGCAGCTGAAGAATCCGACCATGCAGTCTCCCAGGCACGCGCACACACACGAACCAGCTGCCGAATCCAACTATACAGTCTCCCAGGCATGCACGCTCGCACGCACACACACACACACATGAACCAGCTGCCGAATCCACACAAACACGCGCGCACACATGAACCAGCTGCCGAATGCGACTATGCAGTCTCCCAGGCGTGCGCACGTGTGCGCGCACACACACACACACACACATGAACCAGCTGCCGAATCCGACCATGTCAGTCTGCCATGACTGCGAAACCAGCAAAGCCATACGGTACATTGGCTGCTGCCAGACTGGTCTGCTACAGGTTTGCAACGCTCTTGTCAAGTCTTGAGTACACTTGTGGCGTGGCAGGCCGCTCTTCGAAAAGGAAATGTTACAAATACTACAATGAATCCGATCACGGGAGGCCGGCTGTGGTGGTGAAGCAATTCTGAATGATGTGCGCCACTCTACTCGCTGCTGTGCAGTGTCGAACCAATGTCCTTCAAGATGTAAGTGATGGATGTCTCTTCGGACAACATCACACCAATGCTGTCGGGTTTCACACACCTTTGACCTTTGACCTTTGACGCCCATCGCCGGAGGCGATGATAGCAATGCTACGGCAGAAGCCATAGCAACTTGTGCTGGGATTACACCATTCAACAGCTTGCAAGGCTGAAGAATTGACCGTCACTACTCAGCCTGGTCTACACCATACAGCTATTTGGAGTGACATTTTCTGGCCAGTGAATCCCGTTTCACACACACACACACACACGCACACACACACACACACACACACACACACACACACACACACACACACACACACACACACACACACACACACACACACACACACACACACACACCTCACCTCCTCACCTCAGACATGCCCATCGCGGAAGCGATGATAGCGAACAGCTATGTTAGACATAGCAACTTGTGCTGGGATTACACCATTCAACAGCTTGCAAGGCTGATGAATTGACCGCCACTATTTTTAGCCTGGTATCCACCACACAGCTGTTTGAAGTGACTTTTTCTGGCCAGTGAATCCCTATTTTTCATTTTTTTTTCCATTTTTTTTTATGCGTACTGCAAACGATGCTTTGCAGACCTTCTAGAAGAGCTACGCAGCAGTATGCCAGCGCACGGACGCGGTACAGTGCTGCTTTTCCTGGACACACACACACACACACACACACACACACACACTACTACTACTACTACTATTGACAGCTGCCAGAAATGGCCACGCTGCTCCCCAAAGGGAGGTACTGTCAGAGAGGTTAGGGGAGAGGTAGGCAGTGCTTCAAATGGCGCTCCAGGTCCTGTCGCCTCCGAAACTGGCGTTGACTACAGACTCGGCAATGATGTTCAAAGTGCTGGCGATCAGTCACTGTAGGGCGCTTCGGGCGGGGTCCACAGCGATGGCGCTTGAGGCCAGCAGTAGACTTGAAAGTACGCTGGCAGGCAGTACACACCGGGACCTCGGCAACAGGAGGAGCATCAAAAGGCGGTCGGTCGTCACAGTTGTCACTCCCTAGGCACTTATGCACTGCAAGCCCACCCCTGCTCCGGAGCCATCTACTGCAGGCAGGACACTGCACCGACCCAGGCTGCTGTGATACGGGGAGCTGTCGGACTGCTGTGCACTTGTGCCGGGCCATGTCGGCGCGCCGACGAAACAGGCGGCCGCAAACGTGGCACACAATCGTCTTCGGGGCAGGCTCCTTCACCCCCGCTGCTGCCGACACTATGTCACGCCACTCTCCGCGATCGTTGGCTGATTGGAACCAATTGTGCACACCGGCCACAGTCAGATCAGCCTGGACAACGTCCTTCCAGCGATGTCGGGGGCCGCAAAACGGGCGGGTTTGTGGAAGATGAGCGAAGAGCAACTGCTTGGGTAACCGATTGTTATCAAGCCGAGTTAGGTGCCCAAGCCACACCAAGCGTCTTCGCTGTACCATGTACGACAGTGGAATAGGGTCACCCCACTGTGTGCGTAGTTGCTCCGATGTAATGGGCTGCTCCCACTGGCGGCCGCGCGAAATGCCAAGGATTGACCGTAGGTTGGCGTGATGGAACCTGTCCAGCCTGTCCAAGTCCGACTTCAATGGGGTCCAACACTCTGAGCCATACAAAACCGTGGTGAGAACACATACCACATACAAATGCCGTCGAGTAGGCAGGTTCAGGCTCTGATCATGTAAAATCCGCCGAAGACAGCCAAAGGCCCTGGCACCCTTCGCAATGCGGCTGTGGACATCGGCATGAGCTCGCGAATCCGGAGTTATAACAGATCCAAGATAGGGGAAGGAGGTAACAGCTTCAACCCTTTCATTGCCAACTGCCAGATCGGAACAATCAGCGGCAGCGACTCCATAGCCCGCGACCAGTAGCTTAGTCTTCGTCATGCTGACCGTGAGGCCAAAGCTGGATGCCACATCGCAGAAGGCGGACAGGGACAGGTCGGCTGCAGCACGAGTTGTTGCGAGTAGGACGGCGTCATCGGCAAACTCAAAATCATCAGCATGACCAGTCTGAGACTGTCGACGTCGCCCAGCTGCACGGGGAAACAACTGTCCATTAATCAAGAAGCTGAAATCCACACCAGACTCGATGCCGCGCTCCCTGAGAACAGACCTCCACCGCTCCATCACCAATCCGAAATACAGGTTGAACAGCACAGGAGCCATGACACACCCCTGCCGTAAACCATTTTGTACAGAGATCGGATCGGTACAGCCACCAGCAACACGAACAGACGCCAACATGTCCGTATGGAACGACTTCACGAGAGTCACAGCCTGAGGGGGGACACCGAGCCGAAGCAATGCCTGCCACAGAGCCTCACGAGGCACAGAGTCGTATGCTTTGGGGAGGTCCACAAAGACGCAAAACAGCTTCGATCTATGCTCATATGATTTCTCTACCAGTTGGCGGACAGAGAAGATGGCATCAGCACAACCACGGTTTCGCCGGAACCCACACTGCGACTCCGGTAGCTCATCCTCAGCGAGCACTTGCAGCCGATTCTGCACGACCCTAGCAACTAGCTTCCCCACAACCTCCAGCAACGCAATTCCTCGCCAGTTGTCGCAGCGAGAAAGGTCACCCTTCTTAGGTATGGGGATGAGCACTGCATTACGCCAGTCCTGCGGTACGTAACCTTCCGACCAGACAGATTGAAGCAGGTCCAGAAGGAGTGGGTGGAGGACGGGCACACCAGCCTTCAACAGTTCAGGCACGATCTGCGACATGCCACCAGCCTTGCCGTTCTTCAGATGTCTCAGGGCATGGGTCAACTCCTCTCCCGACGGTGGCTGCGTTAGCGAGTGCATGATCTCCCGCTGGGGGATTTGCTGGAATACCTCTGCATCGTAAGTACTGCAGACATTCAAAACACCTGAGAAGTGCCCGTGCCATGTGTCCCTCTGCTCTTGCACAGATCCACAGACGTCTCCCCGAGTGTCGCGGATAGCCTGTACAGATATTGGCTTTAGCCCACCAAAACAGCGCTGCATATCTCGGATGGCAGACCACACATATTTGCCGCTGAAACGTCCCCGCTGCACCACCGCCGCTTTTTCCATTAACCAGGTGGTCTTTGCCCGCCGTATACCAGCCCGAGCCTGGCCACGAGCCTCCTTGAAAGCCCTGTGATCATTCTGATGGCCAGTTCTGAGCCACAGATCGTATAGCCGATTACGGGTTGCTAGTAGGGGCTCCAGTGTCGGGGCACTATCACGAAACCAGTCCGGTACACGCCGCTTGTCTCGACCAACCACCTCCCCAGCCACATCGACGACAGCCGACTTCACAGCACTCCACTTACAGTCCACGGATGAGGCACTATCATATGTATCAGCCAGCCGAGACTCAAGACCAGCACAGTACCCGGCCCGCAATGCAGACACACCCTCAGCCTCCTCCTCACTCATAAATGGCAACCGGTTAAACCGATGAACAGCAAATCTCCGAGGCCTGGAATGCGAGTCACGGTGATAGCGCTGCTGTGCAATATCAGGTAATCGATACTTCATGCGGATCAAGCGGTGGTCAGTGCTACACTCTGCCGTACGCATCACTTGACAATCCATGCAACGTTTACGATATCGCTGCCGAACAATTACGTAGTCTATGCAGTGCCATCTCTGTGAACCAGGGTGTTGCCAGGTGTACATGTGGATGCGCTTCTTGGGAAACAGTGTGTTACAGACAGTCAGCTGTTGACAGGCCAAGAAAGCAAGAAGGCTATGGCCAGCGTCATTCACTTCACCCACACCATGCGATCCATGTACTCCCTACCACATCTCCATTTGCTGTGGACCAGTACCTACACGTGCATTGAAGTCACCCAGGACAATGACATCATCCAGAAGATTGATAGCGTCCAGTGCAGCTTCAAGCTGAGCAAAGAACTCGTCCTTGTCGATTTGAGCCGACCTGAACGTTGGAGCGTAACAGGACATCACCGTCATCCAAGAAGGAGAGTTGTCATTGCCGAAATTTAGCCGGGCTGTGACAATGCGTGATGAGATAGCTTTTCACTGGCAACCTCCACACTCGAACGCTTGTTTAGCCCTACGTCGTTGGACCAGTGCAACTCCCTCGGAGCGACGAAAATTTTCGGCAGGCACAGGGCGACCAGACGCGAGCACGGTGGCATCACCAACACTAAAGGAATCCCCGCCAAACCACTTCGTTTCCTGCAGTCCAGCCATCTATATATCAACTCACACACACACACACACACACACACACACACACACACACACACACACACACACACACACACACAGTGACACACACACACACACACACGCACGCACGCACGCACGCACGCACGCACGCACACACACATGCACACACACAGGCACGCGCGCGCACACACACATGCACGTGCATGCACACGCACACGCGCACACACACATGCACGCGCACACACACAAACACGCTCACACATGCACGATCGCACACAAACACGCGCACGCACACACACGCACACCCAGAAATGCGCACACACACATACGTGCGCACACACACATACACAGCTAATGGTATAGTATGTTGTCCGCAAAGCAGCCAGGTGCTCTGGCTTGGACCTCCAGCAGCGCTGGTTTCGCCCTCGCTACTTGTCGTCTTGCCCTCTCCAGTGCTGCCTGCAACAAAACATTCCCTTCCGGAAACTCTGGGTGGACCAGTTCTCGGTGTTGTGTTTACACCGTGCTCTGCTTTCATAATTACCGGTATGGCATTCGTTGTTCGTATCAACCACTAAGCTCCTGGTAGGTGGCAGCTTACTGGCCTTAGGATGTAGCTCTGGGTTCACTACTACATGCACATCACTGTCAGCAAGTATAGGCAAAGCAAAATCAGAGGCACTGGTCTTCTCCAGGTTTGCAATTGCTATCACATGGGTGCAATTGGTGTAGCACTTTCCATGATACCAGCGACACCATTTACTCCTCCCTGAGCCCTTGTGTTGGCAGAGAAAAGCCCAGATATGGTCGTCCTTCTCTCGAGCAGCGCTGATGATGCGACACCAACTTGTAGTCTCGATATTACTCACTGCAGGCTTCTCGTTTTTACTAAATTGGGCGCTGTGACACAGAAACAAAATTCCAGCAATATTACTCCGCTGGGCTGTCATTTGCCACTTCGTTGCCGTCAGCTGCCTCATCCAGCACCTCGCTGCCACTAGAAACGTCTTCCTCTTCTTCTATTGTTGTCAAAACAACATCAATGTACACGAAAGGAATAAACTTCAATAAAGTGATCACAATATCCCAAAATTGAACTATTATAGAAAATCTAAGTTAGAGAAATAACACTAAGAACAACAGCAGTGAAATTTAAAAGTGTGAATTTTAACAATGAAAGCGAGAGCAATAACGAATGTGTGTACTAACACTAAATTTGCAACTGAAAAGTGAACAAAGAAGAGAAAGAAAGAAGGAAGGACAAAGTGATAACAAATAACAGCAGTACATTACACCTAGAACATTAACGGCCAAGCTTGGCCGCACCAAACATGACACTTTACTTGAACAATTTCAACCCAATTATACTATCTTTCTGTACACACAAATTAGGCTTATACAGACGCTGACAGATGGCTTCCAAACCATTTAACTGTAGTCCATAACCATGACGACCACGGCACAATACAGTGAATGAAGAGTCGGAATACGAATTGCAACAATCAGGACTAGCCAACAGATGATTGTACACTGAAGACTTGCTACCACGAAACCTACGCACAACACTAACATTCTCACCAGCACTCTCCTGATCACTACAATCGTCGCTCTCCGAGTCATTGCTCCCTTCACCGTCCGTCCCATCATCTGCTTCCTCTGCGCTCTCTCTGTTATCCCGCCTGACATGGTCCATTGAACGGGACTCGGCCGTCACCCTGCTCTCACGTCCCTCCTTACGCCCTTGTCCGTTGAGTGCGTAGTTTCTGTTGTAGTTGGCTGTTGATCGTCTTGGTCTTTCAATAATGGGCTTGGATGGTGGATTAGTTGTAGTTGCTGTAGACTGCATTGTTGGTGATGGTGTGGGAGCTGCTAATACGCATGGTGAGTCTTTTTGGGTTGGCAATTGTAGTGTCAATGCCCCTGCCGGTGTTGCTCGCGGTCTGTCACTGGCAAGCTCCACCGCCGCAAGAGCGGACGGTGGAGGATCAGGAGGAGGCAGTGGGACCGGGACCGCAAGCGGCACCACCCCAGCCAAAGCCGCCGGGGGCACTGACGAAGGAACCACCGACGGCAGGAGCAAAGGCGGCGACACAAACCGGCCCGATGAGCCACCACGCCCACCCTCCTCCGCCACCGCCACCAGCGACGGCGGAGCAAGCACAGTCTGTGAGCCAGGATCCGCGGCAAGTTGTGTAGGTAACGGTTGTTTTCTAGGTCGCCCTCGCTTCGGTCTTTGTTGTTGTGCGCAAGGTGGAAGTATGTGACGTGGTGTGTGTTGTTTGATGCGTGCGTTCAGGTGCTGAACAGTCCTACCAACATACCGACTAGCGCATTGTCGGCATTCAAAGTTGTAAATAAGATGACTAAGGTGAAGGGCTGGTAGGACCTCCTTCCGCACCGTAAACGCACGCATCGTCGAAAAAACTGGCACAAAGTGTACTGCATAGTAGAGGGTGGGCGTGGTGGCTCATCGGGCCGGTTTGTGTCGCCGCCCTTGCTCCTGCCGTCGATGGTTCCTTCGTCAGTGCCCCCAGCGGCTTTGGCTTGGGTGGTGCCGCTTGCGGTCCCGGTCCCACTGCCTCCTCCTGATCCTCCGCCTTCGGCTCTTGCGGTGGTGGAGCTTGCCAGTGACAGACCGTGAGCAACACCGGCAGGGGCATTGACACTACAATTGCCAACCCAAAAAGACTCACCTTGCTGTAATGTTCTGGGACATTATTATTATTACAGTACTGGTCAAACCAAAGCACTAACAAAGACAAAAACTAAAGACCAAGAACCAGGAACATAAAGCACAGAGAAAGGGAACAAAACAGATACACATATAAATATCGTACAAGATACTATAATAGTACAATACTATAATAATTATAGTATTAACCGGGAGGCCTGCAACATCACACTTGCGTATTAGCAGCTCCCACACCATCACCAACAATGCAACCTACAGGAACCACAACTAATCCAACATCCAAGCCCATTATTGAAAGACCAAGACGATCAACAGCCAACTACAACAGCCAACTACAACAGAAACTACGCACTCAACGGACAAGGGCGTAAGGAGGGACGTGAGAGCAGGGTGACGGCCGAGTCCCGTTCAATGGACCATGTCAGGCGGGATAACAGAGAGAGCGCAGAGGAAGCAGATGATGGGACGGACGGTGAAGGGAGCAATGACTCGGAGAGCGACGATTGTAGTGATCGTGAGAGTGCCGGTGAGAATGTTAGTGTTGTGCGTAGGTTTCGTGGTAGCAAGTCTTCAGTGTACAATCATCTGTTGGCTAGTCCTGATTGTTGCAATTCGTATTCCGACTCTTCATTCACTGTATTGTGCCGTGGTCGTCATGGTTATGGACTACAGTTAAAGGTTTTGGAAGCCATCTGTCAGCGTCTGTGTATTTGTGTGTACAGAAAGATAGTATAATTGGGTTGAAATTGTTCAAGTAAAGTGTCATGTTTGGTGCGGCCAAGCTTGGCCGTTAATGTTCTAGGTGTAATGTACTGTTGTTATTTGTTATCACTTTGTCCTTCCTTCTTTCGTTCTCTTTTTTGTTCACTTTTCAGTTGCAAGTTTAGTGTTAAGCGGGATTCACAGAAGGTTTTTTGCGATGCGACACGCGATGCGACGCGATCTGCGACGGATGCGTGCGATGCGAACTCGCGAAATACCATTCACAGAAGAAGTCAGTGATGCGACAACATCTTGCTGATTTGGCTACGTCACCATAATATTCGCGCGGTTTGATACAACTTGTACAAATTTATAGGCAACTCTTGCACCTTTGTACAACTTTGCTGTAGAAAAGGTCAAAACCGTGCGCCAAATCGCTTGTCGCATCGCATCGCATCGCAAAAGTTGAGCCGAGCTCAACTTCTGCGATGGCCTGCGACGGCCCAGTTGCGGCAGTTGCGTGGGGTGCGACAAGGCTGCGATTTGGGGTTTTCCCGATTTCGCGCCTGTCGCATCGCGTGTCGCATCGCAAAAAAGCTTCTGTGAATCCCGCTTAAGGGGGCAGCCTACCCATAAATTTCATATGGCATTCAATTGACCGTAACTTTGGTGTTTCTCAGTGGATTTGAGTGAAATTTTGACCACACACTCCTGCCACTATGCTGTCCCTCAGGACATGATTTACAAGTTCTTGCGCCTCACTGACAGGCTTTCCAGGCCGGAAAAACTCAAATTGCCGGCATAGTGCCACGGTGTGCGAGCCACCCAGGAGCCAAACAAATGCATTTACAATTTTTTCACATTTTCGTGCCCATTCTGTCCGTGCGCCGGACCCAAACCTAAAACAAGTCCAGAAGCAGCCATGGGTGGTGGGGTAGGGCCCCTCAACGTGGCCCTGGAATCTATCACAACAGAACGAGTGGGCGTT